ATTAATTAAGTTACAAAGCAGTTAAAGCGGCCTCAAAAGGAGGGACAAATGCATGCTCGATCAGCATCGCTCGGAAATCCGTTGCCATGCCCCATGTTACCTCTGTTTGCACACTTATGCCCCTCTAAAAACTATGCTAGCTTCTGTGATGCTTCTGAACTGCCTCAAGGACATTCTGAGAGACCATCGGCCAAAAGATATGGCCATCGGCCAAGGGAATAGGGTCATCGACCACTTGTAGGTCCATCGGCCAAAAGTTGGTAGCCGATAGGCACTCTAGATAGCCGATCGGCCATCTCTTCCTGCAGACTGCTCCTTTTGCTGTAGCAGAGGACAAACAGAGGCATGGCAATACATTTGCAAGAAAATGTTTGCAACTACACCCCTTATCATGTTTAAGACTCAAAGGTGTGTAGTGCTCGACCCTCGGGCCATCAATCACGTATTCCAATGCATGATAACCAAAGGAGCCAAGTGTGAAAATCAATATGAAATGAATGCACAAAAACCTACAAATGCCTCACACTCTATCATGTTGGATCAAAAGTGTCGGGGATCGAGGATTGAGGCACGTTTCGTCACTTCAAGTATGAAACGTCCCTCGTTCCTCATGTTTGGTTTGACACCCCAAACCAAACACAATGCAATGCATGTATGCCAAATACAATGCAACATGGAAATGCAATGCTGTGCAACCTAAGCATGCCAAATGCAATAGGACTCAAGCATACACACAAGGCTAAGGTAGCAAGCATGCCAAATGCAATGCAACCTAAACAAGCATGTGACAAAATGTAACCTAGCAAGCATGCAACAACATGCAACCTAAACATACAAACGTGCATGGCATGCAAAGATGGACAAGCATGCAACAATATGCAAACTAGCAAGCATGCAACAATGTGTAAAGATGGACTTAAACCGAAATAGGCAGACCTCAGCCATACCCAAATCAGTGGCCAAAGGTGATAAAATGGTGACATGAAATACAAAACAAACACGCATGCCAATTGGCCCAAGAATCAAGGCATAAAGAGGACAACTCTTAAGCACACTTAAAGAGTGACAAGCATGGATATGTGACAACACCGTAAGCTCTGAAATCATGTTAGGAATGATGCCAAATCAACCAAACAAAGCAAGTATAGCATATTCAGAGGTTCAAAGCTCAAGACTAGCCAAGGGGCTTGTACCAAGACCACACAAAGCAAGCCCCAAAGGGCCAAGGGCAATCAAAACAGCCCCAAGGAAGGTCAATACAAGACCAAAAACAAGCTTGAACCTAGCCCACACAAGCTAGAACAAAAGACCAAAAGCCGGAAGCATGCAAGGCTAACAAAGGGGTGTTACACTACACCTATTACAACCAAACATGGCATGACTTAATCAATGGAAAACAGAGTTATAGCATGTCAAAATAAGCCCCAAAACCCTCTGAGATGGCATCCCAAAGGCCTAAGCATGATGGCATGAACAATGATCTATTCTTGAAGCACAAAATAACAACTCTTCAAAGCGTTGAAAGAGTGACAAATGCAAATGTATGACCACATTTCATGGACTGAAATAACATTTCAAATGATGCCAAATCATGAAAAAGGTTCAAGTAATGCATGCTAATGACTTGGACGCTCAAAGCTAACAGGCTAGAATGCACTAAGGCTATACAAGGGATGGCATTCGTGATCAAAACAACACAAATCAGAGCTCAAGCATGCTAAAACAAGGCTAAAAGCTTCTTTGAGTTGAGCCAAAACATACAAGAATGAGAGTCCAAACACAAGGTGCATGTTATGCTAACATGCAAGATTACTCTACAAGTATGTGAAGCATGCAAGATGTTATCAAACCAACTTAAATCAGAGTTGACGCATGCTAGAATAACACCAAAAAAGTTGCTGAAATGGAGCCAAAACATGCTAAGCAAACATGCTACTCTTATGTGCCAACAATGCAAACAAATGAGACACAAGGAGAGAGGGGTGTCCCTCTCCTATTCAAGACTTCAAAACCACTTCTCCACCACTGAAAATCCTCTAGATTTTAGTGGTGAGAAGGTCAAAACAAGATGATTCCAAAGCTTAAAAGGGAAGGCACAAAACAAGGCCTAAGAGGGGGTAGACAACCCCCAACGCAAAAGCGACCTTAAACAATCATCATAAACATGAAAAATTAGAACTTTTTGTAGTTTAGAGTTAAGCTTAAAACAGCATACAAGTATGAGCAAAAGCTTAAGCAAAAATGGGGTATCAAAAGCTAGAATCTCACCCTTGAAGAACACCTTCAAGAACACAACTCCAACAACCTCCTCTGATAACAACCAGTCCAAGAACTCCAAAACCAACTCTTAAGGACCTCAGCAACCAAAGGATGGTGTTCTAGTCGGTGTTTGTGTGCAATAGTGTGAAGATATTACACTTTTGGGCACAAACAAAGGCTAAACAAGAGAGAGAGGTAAAATATAGAGAGAGAGATATAGAACTTGTATCTCAGATTTCTTCAACCTCTGGAAAGGGAGGAGGTGCTCCCTTTTTATAGAATTTCAATTCTCAAGATTGTTGAACAAGCTTGAGTCTTGAAGGCAATCCCTCCATACACGTGTATGGAGGATAAGAATTGTGCATACCAGCTGTCACAGCTGGCACAAAATATCTGCAAAAAGTAGATGGAAAGGTCTCGGCAAGAAAATATGGCCGATCGACCAAAAGGAGTGCTAGTCGACCAAAAAGAGTGCTTATCGGCCAACACTTTTGGCCGATAGCAAAGAAACAAGGCCGATGGCATCATACCTTGGCTGATGGGTTGTGGGGATGGCCTACAAGCCACCCCCCTTCCCTCAGAAGCAAAACCACAAGTCCTTGGTCCACAACCAAGCACAAAACAGTCAAGTTGAGAGATCCTAAGGCAAGGTGCGCAGCCAAGACCTTCGGGAACTCAAAACGAACACGAGCATGGATGATCATCGAGTGTTCAAACAATGACATCCGAGTCTTGAGGATGGTCAAAAATGTAGTGTCTACAGTACCACATGAATATATGATAGTGACATCTATGGCAAAATAAGACAAACCCATGCAACTAACTATTCAAGTTTACTCTTACCCTTTTTGTCATGAATTAACAAAGACAGACCATGTCAATCACAAATAGACCGGAAAGTAGCTTAACAAACAACATAAATAAACACAGACAAACAACCAAGCCAAACTCCCTCTCAACAATGCAACAATGCAATAATGCAACAAGTACAACAACTCGCATCAAACTCCCCTTCAACAAATAACCTAACATGCTAGCATTCAACAAATTCTCCCTCAACAAGTAATCCAAGAAACTTCCTCATATCATAAACAATAACTTTCTCTAGAAAACAAAAGATTTTTGAAGAAAAATATTGACAAAAGCAATATAGTGGAGCAAGCAAGGAATGCCAAATTACTACTTTAATATACACAAGAACATCCAAAAAAAACAATTACTTGAAAACATAATGTGCATAATCTCAACAAAATTTCCCATGGATGAATGTGATGCAACATTTGAGTAATATTAATCTCATGAAGGAAGTGTGTGTGTGTGTGTGTGTGTGTCTTGGAGTTTGACAAACACTAGAGTCAAATCCTAATGATTGAATGGCTGGACCTCCTACAAATAATCTGCATTTCACAGGGGAAGTCAAACCACTAGAGATCAAGTGATGTTTGTTGACGAAATGGCGAGTACTCCCCCTAAAAAATAGACATTCTTTGAATTTCTTTTCTTGCGTTATCGTTGGTGGCTTTTACACTCGAGAGCATGGAAGTCAAACCCGGTGAAGAATGAAATGAAATGAGAACTGGTAGCTAACTCTAAGGTAGCCCTTTTCATAAGCCATGTAAAACAAACATGAAAAGGGAAGCAATGATAGTGCAAAACTACATATGTCAAGCCCAAACGTTTCATACAAGATAAATTCGAGAGAGGTCCACAGGAAACTTTGATCACTTATTTGGAGTCTGGTATTTGCTAGTCCAAGAAAGTATATAGAATAAGACATGCTAATCAATGCACACACATTTAGTAATGGGCAAAATCCACGATATCACACACACATTTTCAAGAAATGAATATTTTAATCAATTCTAATATGCATTAAAGATTTCTCAAAAATTTCAAACTCACAAAACCATACTTTGAAAATCTGTTTGGGTTTCTGATAGGCATATCAAAATAAGAAAAAGCAATTAGGTACAAACACACATAAAATAAGAAATAAAACATAGACAAAAAAAAAGAAAAGAAAAAGGAAACGATAATCAATCAACAAGTCAACCCAAATCAATTTTCCTTACCCAAACCATTTTAGTTTTGATAGTGTTATGCGAATTGCGATTCATGGGTTTTATCTGGGTTTTGTGATTCCCTTTTCCTTCAATGGGACCCCACCTTGACATAGTTTCAAGACTCTTATTCCAAGGTCTAGTCAAGGCCAACCTCGCTTCATGGTTGGTTTGATACAACTCAAAGCAATGAGGTCTAGTGTGACCCTTAACCCCACAATGATGACAAATAGGAACAAAACTACTCTTGACAACTATCTTATAAGACAAAGGAAGTAAAAAGATATTACCTCTAGTTGTGACAAAGCTTTTTCACACCTTCTGTGTTTCATCCCTGGAGGTATGTTTTGGATTTTGAGTTGAGGCTTCTGTTGAGGCTTCTGTTGAGGCTAAGTTTTCCTTTGTCAAACCCCATTTGTTGAGCACTAAAAGGAACATCCAAATTCTTTGAATCCATGTTCCAAAATTTCAATTTAGCATTGGCACTCTTGAGCTACAACTCTAACAAAGTGATCGTTGTTTCAAGCTCATTTCTGGACTTTACACAAGTCTCCATTTCCACTTTAAGAATACCATTCCACTTTTTTTAGCTTATCATTTATACAAAGTAAATGATTTCTCTCCTTTTTGCATGTGGAGAGCTTGAATCAAAGTTCCCCTTTAATTTGTGAGAACACTTACTTCAACTTGAGCTTCAAAGAGCTCTTGCTCTACTTTCTCTTTCTCCTTTCTACTCACAATGAGTTTCATTGACAACTTTATGTTTATTTTTGTCAAGGTGTAACTCCTGTTATACAATTTCTCATAGGGTTGATGAAGAGTTTCACCATCTATTTCTTCATCTTCACTAAATGACCCTATTCTACCATTTGTAGAATGAGATAAGGAGCTTTCATTTCACTCTTGTCAATGGATGAATTGCCATCAGAAGAATTAACACTTGCTACATGAGTAATGGAGGTGCCTTGAGATTCATTCGTAGATTGCACATTCCTCATGAATAGATTTCAGCACATCCCATTCTTCTTTGACCGTCTCACAATGTAAAATGTGACTCTTTTCACTTTCCGAGATAGCATGTCATATTTCATGTAAGGCTCTTGAGTTGTACTCCATGTGCTTTAACTCAAGTTCACTTCATTGCTCTTACAGCTTCAAGTTCTTCAGATTCGTTTTGAAGTCTAGTTCATAGGGCAACTTGAATCTTTCCTCTACTATCATCTAAAAATTCATATTTAGCATCATCAAATGCACTCTCATACGAGCCCTCCATTACAAGTATTCACTTCCATCAAAAAAGAGAGAGCTAGAAACATTGTGACCATATTCACTACGAGACTCATTGTCAACACTATCATTGTTAGAATATGTCTCATCATACTAAGTTACTAAAGAAATTTCTTTCTTTTCCAGCTTGGGCATCCTTGGCACTCGTAACATTGGATTCTTTCAAAACTCCCTTGTGTCTTCTTCCAAAGTTGCAAATGTGACACTAAAATTAGTTTGAAATTTCATTTTACCTCCCAAACTATCTATAAAATATCAATTAAACCCCCAAAATTAATTTTATTCAGGGGTCTAATTGATATTTTGGGGATAGTTTGGAAGGAAATAGAATTTCAAATGAAGTTTGGGTACCATATCAGTAACTTCTATTTGATTATAGACAGCGATTGATGGTGGGGGTAAAATTGATGCAAAATCAAATAGGTTAGATATAAAATTGATATTATTAAAAGAAAATGGGTGAATTGATTTTTGAGTGATAGTTTAAGGGAGAAGGGGAATGATATATTCTCAAATACATATAAATGGAAGATACATCTAAACTCAACAACATAAAACTATAGATGCATAACCATAGCTCAAATAGGTTTCAACATGCCTTAGGGGTGCCTTCCATTCTTTTTTGACAAAAAAAAAAAAAACTTCACTAAGTGTCATAATCCTTGGCTGAGTAGCAAAACGAGCAAGAAAGTAGCATTACATAAAATGTGGGTTTTGACAATGTTTATTTAAAGGATTTTTTTTAAAATGACATTTTTATAATATCTAACGGCATTTTTAAAGCGTGTCTTTTTTCAAAAATTAAAATGGCGCCGTTTTGATAAGACATGGTGTTTAAACCCTCTCAACAGATCGAAGTTCAAAGTTCTCTCTTGATTTAAATTTTGATTTTGAAGCTCCATCGTCTAAAGTTCTCCCCGTCGTCTACTAAGGTGAGTTCGAAGTTTGAAGCTCTGTCTCTGTCTCTCTCTCTCTCTGATGCTCTTTCTTCCCGATTTGGTTGATTTGGTTATTAATTTGGTTGATTTTTATTTGTGCAGATAAGGATCAAGAGTTTTCGTCTGTGTAGATAAGGATCCAGAATTGTCGTTTGTGCAGATAAGGATCGAGAATTGGAGATCAAGGCATTGAGAGAAGGCAAAAAGGTTCAGATCTATACCATTCTTCTCTCTCTCTCTCTCTCTCTCGATTATACAATCAACACTATTCCTCATGAGTTAGTCAAGCTAATCTCCTTTGTTGATCTGAGATTCTTTGAGAAAAAATTTATTGGCTCCATATCAGATTTGGATTGTGCTTTTGGTCCTTTGATTGGTTGTTGCTCTATTTTATGCCCAAATGATTAAATCCCTATATTTTTCATTTTGTATACATTATATGAATTTCAAGTACACTTTTCATAATTCATTGATTATCTCTTGTTATATGACTTTTGATTCGATCTTAATTTTTTTCGGATCTAAGTCTTGAATCTGCGTTGAGTTTTTTTTTTTTTTTTTTTTCTCCCTATCTGTTTTTTTTTTTTATGGAAGGGGGGGTTGCTGCTCTATTATTTTTCTTCAATTATGTGGATTTTGTACCAACTGTTGTTTCGCGGATGTGATTTTAGACTAGTTAGAATTACGATTTTTTCATTTTGCTTGAATTATGTGGATTTCATTTCTTATACAAATTTTTTTATTCATTTCTCTGCATTTATTTTACCAACAATATCAGCAATAGACCATTGAGCCATAACCTAACTCAATCCCACTAACAACAAGTCATTCAACACTCAATACTTCTCAGTCAAATGAACTATTTCCCATAGCATTTTGATCAGAAACAAGAAGACAAAGCAACAAACAAAAAACCACCCTTCTCTATCACACATTGACCATAGAATTAAAAGAACCTCAATATATTGACAAACTCTTTCCATGTTCTGGAACCACCCTTCTCTACATAACTTTATCAATACATTGATGTCAAAATATTTGAAACATGGCTTACCAGAATATCATGCTGAACATTTTGGTCAAGAGCCAGAACAGCACAGACATGCTTAATGAACTCTAGTGCAGGATCTCCCATATTGGTATTATTAACTAGTGGATTCCCATCATGTTGGTTAGTATTAGACTTGCTTGTTCCCTTCATATGAAGAATGGTATCACGAATAAGCCTTAGAAGTTTATCTGCAAAGTAAGAACTGATCTGCAAAATACAATTTACATGAACAGAATATAAGCAGCAGGAGGAATCAAGAACAATATTTTTGTTTTTGTTATGTTCTATACTTTTTATTGTTTCAATGATGCAATTATTTGTAATGTGTGCAATTCCTTAAAACAAATACAACAATATGGGATTTGACAATAATTAGATGGTCTTTCTATGATTATTAAATCTTTTTAGGAAGTATGTGAATTGGATTGAAATATGAAACCGTTTTACATTTTCAATAAAAAAAAAATTATAATCAAGTTACATTTATTATTATCTACTCTGACAGGTCATGGAAAAAGTGTTTGCACTATTGTTGGCAGAGTTTCGCAAGTTGGGTGCCACAGTCATATTTGCAACCTTTTCAAAAGTTATTATAGACATAGGAAAGTCAGATTTATTACCGTGATAGTTTACTCAAAACTCTGCAATTTGCAAACTAGGTTGGTCTTTATTTTCGTATTCCAAAAAGTTGTTATCAGTAGGTTTCATCTTTTGTCCTATCTTTTGTAATCCTTGTTTTATGGTTATAGAGATCTACTTGAGTGGATTGAGCTTGAACGATTACAGTTCTGGCATTCGTTGCTTTTTATGGATCAAGTTAGTACAATGTGGTTTCTCCTCTATTATCTACTTTGTTTTATTTGTACTTTTCTACTTCATTTATTATGTATCTATGTTAGTCAAAATTCCTCTTTCCAATTTGAATTTAACCTCAAGGTCATGGAATTAATTTTAATGTATAAGCAGTGAGCACCATTACAAGTACAACAAACTTCTGGTTGCCCTTGTACTACCATCCAAATCTCTGTTAAGAGAAATTCTGAAGTTTATTTGATGACTCAAAATAAGTGAAGGCTAGAGAAATTTGAACAAAGGCTAGAAAAATTCTAATCCTTGGGCAGTTTTGAGGTTTAAAATTGGTTTCTCAAACTACATGTTTAAACTACATTTGTTAGGCATTCTGATAACAACCTTAGATTCCTTCTAGTTTTTTGGCAAATGTTTCAAATTTAGTGTCAGATATTTTACAAAGAATATATAGTGCATTAAAGCCATGGAGTGTATCAATTGGTTCCAAATTGTGGTGCAGTAGTAAAATATATTCTGTTTTGATTCCATGTTCTAATAAATTTTTGTTCCAATTTTTCTATGATAGTACAATTATGGTGGAATCTAAGCTAGAATCAATAGTGAAACATTAGAAGGTGTTTGTGAACCAGAAAATGAAATTGTGCATGATAAATCTCAAGTGGATATTGTTTCAAGCTGGAATATAGCTGAAAACTTGCCTAAGGCAACTCAGGTAGTCACCCAACTATTTTTCTATGTCACCAGTACTTTTAAGTTATAAGAGATATTGAAACATTACTTTATGCAATTTAATATGACATAGTTAAATTGAATCATTTAATCACAAGCTTCATCAACTACTATGTATTATTTTATATGATCTTCTTTCTTCATATTTTGATTGATATCACTGCCTTTTGGGCTATTATATCGAATCACTTCATTTTGATTGTCTCTGAATTTATGTATATTCATGGAAATATGCACGAGAACAAACTGCAATTGGAGCATTTTTTAGGGATGGCAACTTATGCACTCCATCAATAACTGTTGCAAATGCAGAAACTTTTGAGTCACACATGACAGAATATCTTAGGAAGCAAGTATGAAATGGGATTTAGTTTCCAAAGCTTGTATAAGTTCTTAATTCCTCCTGCTACTTATATTCTGTTCATGTAAATTGTATTTTGCAGATCAGCTCTTTCTTTGCAGATAAACTTCTAAGGATTGTTCGTGATACCATTCTTCATATGACAAGACATTATATTAAATCAAAACTCACGGGGTTTGTCATGATATTTTTCCTATTATTTTTTGGCGAATGTTAAAATATGATTTGTGGATATGTTATTTTGTGGTTAATGGTGATTGGATACTAAATTGAATTGGAAAGTGAACTAATACTGTATTTGCTACTTGACAGCTTTTCATATAATCGGCTTACCTTTTGACAAATGTTCATTTGAATGGGAATGGGAGTTATTGTTTCATATTAGTGTTATTTTTCCACTTTATTACAGGTATTTTTTTAGTTCAACCAAATAGAATTAGCACAATTTCAAAAAAACAAATAAAAAAATGAAGAGGTAATGGCGTTTTTCAAAACACCACTATATGCCAACGGTTCGATTTTTAAATTTTTTTTAAAAAAAAGCTACGACGACGTTTTTGAAACGTCACTAAAAATTGTTGTGACGTCACTTTACCGTCATGTACCACATTTAGTGGCGCTTTACGCTTTTTGAACGCATTTCTAAAGCGCCACAATGCTACAGCGACAGTCGTGCTTTCGGCGTTTGGTGTTAAGCGTCAAAAAAAGAATTAGTGGCGTTTTTGGCACCTCAGCTTAATTTCTTGCAGTGTAGGTACCATACTCATTGCGACGAGCTACAAAGATGTAACTACATGCAAACTTTGGAACAAATAGCAAAAATAATAAAAATAATTAAAAAAAAAGGACCAAATACATGACAGCTTGCAAGTGACTATTTCTTGCAGTTTGTTAAAACAAACACAAAACTACATAGAAAAATAAATGAAAAGCATCATGGAGCTTTTCTCTTCTAAGCAAATGCATAAATTGCATGGCCTAGCTCATTGTGCATAAAAAGAAATTGGCTAAGGTAAACATTCATCTTTGACACAGTTAAATTTAACCGAGTTTGATGGTTCAGAAACATTAACTATGATGGACCTTTTAGCTCAAAATGTTCATAATTGCTTGTATCCCCGCCAGCAACAGTAGAACAGAGGCTGTGACAACTGAGATAGATCTCCACGGATTGCTAAAATATTTATGCCTCAAAGATGCCCAGTGGCTTCTATAGTAGGCCTCCACATCTCTGAATTGCTTAGAGAGGTAAAGATCTCTAATATTGAACTCAACATTTTCTCCCAATTTTTTGAAAAGATGAGCAACAAATAGATCATTGTAGGAGGAATTGGCGATAATTCCATCATCACAAAGAAATGTAACGTCTCTCGCTGAGTTGATGAGACAACTCATGAAGGCAATATATGCAGAAAAACATGTATGGGTATGTTGGAGGCATTGTTCTAAGGCGGCACAATTGATTAAGGCGGTACTGGTGAAATCATTGATGGTTATAGGTTGGATTTCTAGCACCCCTTGGTCGAAATTTATCTCCAAGAAGCTATCAGTAGTGCTTTTGGCTGGGCTGAACTTGATCCCAGTAAGTCGGAGTTGTGTCACACATGGCATTGATCGATTTCATAATGGGCTACTATATTCTTGTAATCCATGTGAAGTGGAAGGAGAGTATATAGATCCCAACATTGGTTCAAAATATCTTGAGGGTTGGAAGCTTTCGTGAAACAAGTCGAGTAGATGATAACGTTTCAAAATTTTTTCACTTTCAAGTGAACTAAGAGACATTGGGAGGGCAGGACGAAAGAATTTTAAAGCTGGCAAAGTAATATTGGTGGGGTTCTCATCTGAAAGAAATTCTCTATGGGGGTCTTGGTCACCATTGCCAATGGAGAAATCATATAGCTTCTGAAGAACAAATAAAGGAAGTTGGTTTTCAAGCTTAAGGAGGTCTTTCATGATGATTGGGATGTTGACATTTTTAGAACCTTGACTTCTGCAAACTTGATGTAAGCGCTCAACAATAAAGCAACCATCAAGTATCACATTGGAATGGGCTCTGAGTAACAACTTCTTGCCTCGCTCTCTAATCCTTTCATGGCCTTCATTAACTGGCGCAAATCGACCCCCATTGCCTCTGTTCGAGAAAGTAGGGAACGAAGATACTGGCATTTGTAACTTTCAAATCTTTGGACCTGATTTTTGCCATGGTAATAAGGGCCTATTGACACCATTTCTGGGTCAATAGCAGCCTTGCAACTGATTTCTCTGAAGCTTTGAGGGGCTCTAAATATGCAAACAGAGCTCCTAATTTCCGAGATTTGGATTCTGCTTCCATCAAAATCTTTCAAGCGCTTTTGCATGAGAGCAATAGATGCATCATCATCAATGGATTCCTCTATTTCATTAGTAGATTGAATTGATGATACGTTGTCGCTACCTAATTCTTCTATTGTAATGCAATGACTCCTCTGTTTCGTTAGTAAATGCATCATCAATGGATTCCTCTTAATATTCTCCATTTTTTTTTCTCTTACCCCAACACTAATCAAAAACAATAAAGTAAAATAAAATTGTTAATTTCATACATAGGTACCTTCAACTTGCATGTAGCAAAAATAATAATAATAACAAAACATGTCACTGATGTCGGGGTGATTATTCAATATTCTCGGAGTATGGACACATGGTGCTCTATAAAGTTTTGATTGGTAGAGAGGGGTAGAGACCTATGATTTATGTTGGGGATGAGAGAATAACATAGGGGCTAAGTAATTGGTGATTGGCTTGGAGTATGGTCACGTGGTGTTCCGGGATTATTATTTAATTTCCTCACTGATGTGAAGGTATAATTTTTGCTTAGAAGAAGGGACTAGATTGTCTCCAATTGGACAGCCCAACTAAACTGTTCACTTCGGCCTATTTAGGGCCCATTTCGATAATTCGAACCGTTCAATGTGTAGCACTCGTTGAGTACTTCATCCCTGGAAAAAATCACATTGATAAGATATCGATAGCCACTTGATCAGATCACATTTCTATCAACAATTTTTTTTTTTTTTTTTAAAAAAAAAACCATATTTACCATTGATAGAAATGTGAACTGATCATGTGGCTATGGATATTCGATCAACATGATTTTTTGAGGGATGAAATACTTGATGAGTTCTACACATTGAACATTTCGGATTGTCGATTTGGGCTTCGTGGTGGGCCCATGAAGATCCAATAATACAATTTAGTCAGATTAGGATTGGAGACAAGCCTAGGCCCACAAAAAAATTAACTTTTATTACAAAGTGGCATAACTTTGTTATTCGTAACTTAAGGTGGACACCTTAAATTTGTCATCCATAATTTTTATAACAAAATGACATAACATACTATAAATATTCATAATTTTCATAACAAAATCATTACTTTTCTTATGATGTATGCTTTTAAAATGCACACAAGGTCGGCTCTGAGTTATTCAGGACATAAGGTGAAATCTTGAAATTGGGCAATGAGTTAAGGTGCACACCCTAACTTCGTCATTGATAACTTTTACGAAAAAATGAGATAATACACTACAAATATTTATTACTTTTCTTATGATGTATGCTTTTAAAGTGCACATCCTTGAGTTATTCAAGACCCAAGGCGAAATCTTCAAATTTCACCCTTTATACATAATTATAAATAAAATAAAAAGTGTTTGGACAAAATGATAAATATTTATGATTTTTTTTTATTTGTTAATATCCACACAAATTTTACTTGCATATATGATCACCATAATTATATACTAAATTTAGTTTCGTAGATCAAGACATGAATAAATCGTTACAATAACTAAAAATAAATAAAACTATGGTCATGTTTTAGATAGGGGGAAAATATTGTCTTGTTAACATTGAATAAAATATCAAATTATAATATCAAATAAAATTTGAACAACCACAACAAATTATTAATTAAATATTATTCAAATCATATTTTAGATGCAAACTAATTAAGCATTCATAATTTTTAAAAACCTCTTAGCTTAGATTGTGAATTTAACATAGTTAAATGTAAGCCTTATTTTTTGGCCTACAAATACTATAAAAGGTAAATTATACTTTGCCCCCTTTATGCTTGATTATTTTTTCACTTTAACCCTTCAAGTTTATTTTTTCTCACTTTAGCGCTTCATCTTTCAAATTTCCCAACTTACCAAAAGCTAACTTGCGTCCAAAGTTAGATATAAAATGACAAGTTGACAACTACTTGGCATAGGAATTTTTTATATAACTTACACATCTAACACAAACTCAAATTCTAATATAATAATATATTTTTTAAGTTATGTGATAGTTAACATGGCATTTTTGTCTAATTTTGATTAAAAAATAATTTTAGGAGTAAATTAAGAAAAAATTAAACCATGAAAAAAAAACCTTCAAGGGCTAAAGTAGGAAAATAACCAAACATAAAAGAGATGTAATTTACCCATACTACAAGTGTTAAAATTAGTTGAGGTCATGAATCATACACGAAATTAGTGAATTGATGTTGATCATTTTTCGACATGAATCCAATAATATAAATAATTAGTTATACATTTTAATTTTATTTCTATTAAAAGGTGCTATGATATTTTAAAATTTTTATGTAACTCCATCTAACTACAAAAGTAGATAAAATATGAATTTTAGTGTAATAATTTTTTTCATTTCAGATACATATTTTTTTGGCAAAATCCACTTTACCCCCCTTTGATTTTGGTCATTTACACTTTACCTCCCTATTATTTGGAAACAGTCACTTACCCTTTATGGTTTTGGATTAAAGTACAATACTAATACTGTTAGCCAAAAATATAAAATGACCTTAATACCCTTCTACTTTTTTTCCTTTTCCTTTCTATTTTCTCATTCTATCTCTTCTATTATACAATTAATTTAATTTAATCACATAATTTTTCTAATTTTTGAAACTTTTTTAACTTCTTCACTCTATTTCTAATTTAATCTCATATTAAATTTTTTTAAAAATATAGTATAATAGAATATTTATATACATCCATATATACAAATATAAATATTATATATATATATATATATATCAAGCAGGTAAACAGAGGAGGGATGTGATTGTAGGTGAAGGAGTTGTGTCGGAATTTGAGGGATAGATGAGGGGCAAAATTCGAAGAAATTGAGGGCGAGGGTGGGGAAATTGAAGGATTTGAGGATTTGAGAGGGGAGCTTCTATCTACACACATCTAATCCCCTCTATACACACACTTAATGAAATTTAATTTTATTACAATTTTATCCCTAACTGAAATTACTATTTTAGACATCTACCCAATTCAAAAGTCTCAATGCACACATCCAGACTTCACGTTGAAGCTCCAAGTTCAGCTTCTTCCATTGAAGTAGAAGTGAATGCGCTCATTCATTAAGCTCCAAGTTCAGCTTCTTCCATTGAGCTAGAAGTGCTCATTCATTAAGCTCAAAGTTCAGCTTCTTCCATTAAGGTCCAAGTTCGTAGCTTCTCAACCTTCCTCATTCGTAGCTTCTTCCTCATTCATCATTGTTATGGAGGATTTGCCTTTTGAAAATCAGCAAATAAGTGTTTATGTGAAACAAAGCGAAGGAAATCGTGAATCCGACGACGAAACGGGCGTAGAACGCGAAGAAACGGGCAAAAGAGGAGAGAAAAACGCTCTAGAGAGAGAGAGTGAGAGTTTTCAGCGGAGAGGAAAGTGAGGAATAGGGTTTAGAAACCCTATTTTAAAACACCCATGGCGAAAAGTCGAATCTGCCCCGACTCAGCAACTTTTTGCCGGTCGGCAATGTTTTGTGCCGGCCGGCAGTATATTGTGCCGATGGAGTTATTTTTTCAGCCGGTGGCCTCCCCTCCCGGCCGGTGGTGTTCCCACAACCTTGTTTAGGCCATATGAGTAGCTTCTGGTCTTCATAGCTCAAGAAAGTGCAAGAAAGTGTATCTCCGACGCTCAACCGGCCTCCGTTTTGACCTCGGACCACGTCTTCTGTGCGTAGCACTCTAATTCATACAATGTTGTATCCTTTGGTATCCTTTTTGCCTCTTACAAGGTCCAAAAGTTACCCCGTGTGCGTTGCACGCATTCATCGCATTATTTCGGTGCATTACATCGCGCTATCATGCGCCTCACAGTTGCATTGTTATGCACATACTACATGCGTTGTAACACGCACCCCTTGCATTGTCATGCACATCTCTCATGCATTGTCATTGCATTTTTATTACAAGCATTGTCATGCATTTCAAATACGTACGTCGCCTCGCGCATCGTTCGCATTGTCATGCATTTCGAAACACGTGCGTTGTTACGCATTTAAGTCCGTGTGGCATGCGTGTCACACTTAGCATCGTTTTACATTCCGTGTGACATGCGTGTCACACTTGGCATCCTTTTACATTCCGTGTGGCATGCGTGTCACACTTAGCATCATTTTGCATTCCGTGTGGCATGCGTGTCACACTTGGCATCATTTTACATTTCGTGTGGCATGCGTGTCACACTTAGCATCGTTTTACATTCCGTGTGGCATACGTGTCGCACTGAGCATCATTTTGCACCTTATGAGGCATACGTGTCTCAT